TCTCTCTCTCTCTCTCTCTCTCTCTCTCTCTCTTTCTCTCTCCTCTCCCCTCTACACTCCATCTCTACACCTTATCCTTTCTGCTGTCGCGCATTGAGGTAGACTTCGAAAGTGTCGCTCGGTACTCCATCAGGCTCGTAGCTGATTTTACTGGTAGCTGATTTGCTTATTTCATTTATGATTTTTATTTATAATTTTTATTTATAATTGTATTTATAATTTTCGTTATATCATTATCATTGCATATGCAATCGAGCTATTTAGCGCTGGCTGTATGCAAGCAACTAGTCCCCGTGAGATATGGGTATGTATCGCTTGATTTGCGTTTCCAAATGTTTGAATCTATCGTGTTGCCATGATTTTTTGTGTGCTGCTTGTAAAAATACATTATTAGCATTATTAGCGATCGAATGAGCGCGCGCGTACGCGTGTGGTGCGTGTGTGTGCATCTTAATTTTTACAGGATAGCTGCCGTCGCACTCGTTTCCCAGTCCTTCGAACCCATTGAACCCACACATTCCTTCAGAACCCATTGAACTCAACCACACGATCGCTTTCACAAAGACATCCATGTTAAATTTAATCAAAAGATCAAATAAGATAAAGGAGAAATGGTTGTTGTGATTTCGCGCGTCACGCGAAATCCGATGTTCGTGGGTCTCTGATAAAATTATGAAAGAACCTGGAGATTTTCTAATACCCCCCGCACGGATTCTCCTCGACTGTGAATAGATCGAGGACAATTCGTACCACAAAGTGTGACTTCGAGATCGCTCATAGGAATGTTTTTGGCGCTTGGGCGTTTCAGGAGAACCTTGGTAACACGCGCGAGGAAGTGGAAAGATTGCGATCCATTTTGAAGACCATGAAAGCGGTTATGTCTGAGGCGTTGAGTTCTGTTCGGCACGAACTCGCGATTCTGCGCGAACAGTCCGACGAAGACAAGAGCAATCTCGCCGAAATGACGGAGCGAGTTCGAGTGGCGCTGTCCTTGTACTCGCAGGAATGCAACCGGCGTCTGCAGGAACGCGAGCAAGAACTGATGGTCGATCACGAGCTCGAGCTGGCCGAGATCAAGAAAGTAATGCAGAGCCGCGAGGAGGAAATCGACACGATCAAGCGTAATCTTATGGAGAAGGAAACTGAATTGGCGGAACACGAGCGACTGGCCGCCACGATGCGTCAGAAGCTGGAGGACGAACAGATCGAGTTGGGCAACTTGCAGACCCGTCTGCACCAGCAGCTCGAGAGTGAGCTGGAGCAGGCGCGCATAGACAAGGAGGAGGCTGTGAAAAAGGCGAACGATGAAAGATTTCTCGAGATCGCGTCTTTGACAAATTCCTTGACGCAGTGTCAAAAGCGTATCGAGGAACTCGAGAAAGATCTGGCCACTGCTCGCAGCGATCAGGAGAGAATGGTGCAGGAGGCGACCGACAAGTTCCAGCTAGAATACAAAACTGAGCTAGAGACGCTCCGGAGTCGCTTCAAACTCATGGCCGCTTCTACCATGGAAAGGAGTCCCAGTGATTGTAGTCTGGAGAAGATCGAGGTAAGCAGCGTTGCTCTCCGATATGTTTCGCTCGGTATTAGAAATCAAGTGAGAATTTAAAGATGTAGGGAATAACCCCGGTCTCCTCTAATTTCTTGATTTTTTTCAGCGGGCGGATGTTATCGAGCTTGCGAATCATGAGGCGATCTTGGCACAAACGAAGGAAGATATGAAATTGGAGAATGCCGCGGCGCTTCGCACTGCCATCGAAAAAGAGAGAGCCGATTGCATGACAAAATTGGATAACGAATTGAGAGTGGCGACCCAAATGGTGGAGGAGAAGGACAGAGAGCTGAAGATGTGCAGGATGAGAGAAGTCGCACTGATTGAACGGTATAAGAACACGATACGACTACTGACCAAGTCGGAGAACGTGCATCGGCAAACGTTGAAAGACAAGGTAATATGTCGCATATTAAAAATGTGTGACTGCATAGATTTTTATACCTCAAGTCGACTGTCGTGCATTCTAACTTCTTTTGTACGTAGGTAGAGATACTCGAGACGGATAAAACTTGGCGGGAGAACAAACTGGAGAAAAAGCTGCGAGCGATCCTTGAGAGCGACACCGTTGCCTACGCAGAGTCTGCGGTACACGAAGATTTTACCTATGAACGATTGGACAGCAATCAAGGCGATCTGGAGGAAGTACTCAAGGGTGCGGAGAGTGAGAAGTATGAAGTAGAGGTCTCTGAGTCAAAGAAAGTGCGATTGGAGGCTGATGATGACGAGCTGGCCCGGCTTTCTCGGCGACTCGAGATCCTCGAGAACGATAACAAGAGATTGTCTGCGGAATTGGTGACGATTCATCAGAGTAAAATTGCGGCCGAAGCGAAAATGGAGTCTCTGATGACTGACAAGGTTCGTCTGGAGATCGAGTTGGTGAAAGAAAGAACCAAGAGGATCTTTGGCGTCGATGCATTGTCATCAGAGAGTCGCGATAAGGAGATGAACGCGTCGGTCGCGGTGGTCTCGGAATCAAGCTCGGGCTCGAGCCGAGATGCGGCTACCAGTCCGGAACCGAGCAGACGATCATCTTCCAAATCATGCTTCCACTCGTCGCAGATGCGTAAGAAGATCGAGGAGGGCATGGCGAAGATCGCGCAGCTGGGTGTCGTTACTGTCACCAGTTGCAACCCTGGCGATGTGGTGGTTGTATTCTGGGATCCAGCGCACGGTAATTACGCGGTGTACCAGGAATCGCCGACGCTGTATTTCCTCCATTCGGACTATGTGGACACGTTGGACGTGAGGATGAACTCAAATGGGTCTCGAAAGTGTGTTCTCGCCGAGGTGATCGATAAGGAGTATTGTCACGCGAGAAAGGTAAGGCTGTTGTTAACCGAGCCACGATGGCCATGTCACGACGATGAATCGCGTGCGCACTCGCGATGATAAAAGTCAAAGATTACTGTACAAACAAAGTAATTCTCTTTTGTTGGTCGATTTTCAGAGGGAGAATCGGTATCATGTTCCGCTCGGCACGAAGTTCTACCGGGTGCGCGTGAAGCCAGTAGCCGACGACACGGGCTCGTTGGCGAAGAGTCAGCTACCGTAATTTTACGTTCCGACTAAGCGTCGAGAATCCCTTGATTCTTGCCTAGTACAAGCGCTGTGATCGAGGGTTTGCGTCGGAAGGCCGCGCTCGTTAAGGGGACCAGCGACCTGGAATGCAAATCCCGAACTTACGTCTCCGCGAACATCCGGAAACCTCGGATCTAGGCCAAAACCTGCCAGAGCCTCTAGACGCATCCTTGATGTCGATGATTTTCAGGATGATGGTCCACGGCAAGAGGTATGCGCAAGTTGGGTAATATGGAAATGAGACGGAAGGATGCGCCGGCGTTTTATTGTGATATAAGTAATTTTTAAACGAGTGTGAAACATATTTGCCGAATGCTGTGGTTAGCTGTGAAGCGCGCGCGTAAACGACATTTGTATTCAATTTTCCTTTTTTTTTTTCATAAACGAGGAGAACAAAAGAGACGTGAAGCGTCGCTGACGATTCTCTCCTTCGATGATTCGATAAGTTGATTATTGTATGTGTGCTGCATTGTGTGAGAGAAAAAGAGGAGATAGGAAGAGAGAGAATATGTGTGTATGTATAAATTTAATTTCTAGACTATATAGACACGCGCGATGCGGAAAGACGAAGACGTGTCCGTTGAAGTAAAATACATTTTCTTCTCTCCGCATTCCGACGATTATCTTTGCACTGTATGAGACAAAACAACGTAGTTGTAAGTTTTACAAAAACCTATATATTGCGGAGAGCACCAGGCTTCACGGTGAAATCGTAACGTTGATTAGGATAAAACTGACCTTTAACCTAGTTAAATGTTTACGTTTTACTGAAGTCTGGTGCGCGCGCGCGCGATTTGTATGTGTGATATACATGCATATATAATCGCATTAAATTAATTAATTAATCAATTAATTATTATTAGTTAATAAACACACGCATCTCTCTATATATGAATGTATATACATATACCGTTGCAATACCTGCGTACGAAAATCTCATAGGTCCTAAGGCGGGGCTAAGATTTTGTAAAGTGAAACGGAAAAAAAGCAGAGTCTCGTAATCGTGTTGTGCAATTTTGCAGCAAGGCATACCTAGCACCGTTAGATCCTCTATTTATACGAAGAGATTGTGTCGCGCGATTACTTCCGACGATTCTCTCGACGATGCCTCGCGAGTCTTAACAGTCTTCGTCGCGAGTCGCCCTCTCGTTCCTTTTCACAGCGGACGAACGCGCTTTCGTTTCTCTCTTCTTTCGTATCCACCGCTGTCTCCTCGTAGTGACGAGTTTGGGAGGTAGGTGCATATATGTAAGTTTCGATGTGTTTCATTTCGGTGTGAAAGGAACTTTAAGCTACGCAGTGAGGGGGAATGTATGTACTTCTTCAATCTCTCCTTCGTATGCAGTTCTCGAGCGTTAGTTGAAGCAGTCGGAGAATCGACGTGAGACGTACCTCCGCGTAGAACGAATTTTATAAATATACGTGTACACACACACACACACACACCCACACACATATATTCTATATATATATATATATATATATATATATATATATATATATATATATATATGTGTGTATATATATATATATATATATTATACCCTTTTCTATCGTTTGATTGGTATGTCCATGCCGCCACCACCGTCAGTATGCTCGACGGCACACGCGATGGGTGGCTTGCGGAGCGTCGCTCTGTGGTAAGCTCCTTCAGTTTGCAGCATTAACTTGTAAACCACTAAGCATCGCTACTACCTATCGTTTTCCGCGACACGTAAGACACTCATAGTACAGTACAATAGCTGTGATCGTTAGCTTGACGTTTTCACTTCTACTTAGTCGTTAATTAAACTTAATTCCTTCTTGCGATGTCGCGCGACGAGACTCGCGCCCTTCTGCCGTTCTGCCGACGGGGGTGTTATCTCCTTTCCTGTACCCTGAGGAAGAACGGAGACAGCGAAGAGCGCGAGACCGAATCTTCCCGAGGCACCAGAGGCGACGATTTCCAAATGGTGCAGAAACTTGGAACGTCGCTGACAGACGGTTCACAAAATATGCTGATACGTAAGATAAACTGTTCGGTAGGCTTCTCTCAAGGGGAGGACGCGCCTGCTTTTGGCGTGTCGCGGAGTAGATAACCGCGTAATAATCACCCCTTCGTCTCTTCGACTTGAACGCATACATGCACGCAAGACAATGGACCTTCGATACTCATCCCCGAAGACCAGCCGACCAATTAACCAATCAACCAACAGACAGACAGACAGACAGACGGATCGACAGATGAGCATCTGCTTTCACCCTCGGAAGCACCGTTTCTCCTCTCACCGTCGCCGGCGAATTCATCGTTCGGCTGTGCGAAGTCGCGCACGGAGGCGACGAGCTCCTCTCTACGTCGAGGTGACGCGATCGGCTGCGTCACAGAAGAAACGATGACAATACGAGCAACGCGTTTTACTGCCACCACGACGACGAGAGATCGCAACTCGATCTCAGTTCGAATCGTCGTCGTAGAATCGATCTCCGTATGACTTCTGTGCTTGGTTCACACGCGCACACCCGCGGTTCCTACTAGACCAGACTCTCAATAGCTTCAATAGTTGATCGCCCGGAAGAGGACACCTTCCGGGCGCGTGTGGCGGCCCAGATATCACTTCGAAAGCAAAGTATCTCCTTTTTTCCTCTATTTTCCTGATAAACTTCGCTCGCTGTCGCGTGCCCCCACCCATCGCTCTCTTCTTTAGACACGTTTGCAAGTTGGTGAGCCAATGATCCTCTTTATCGCGCACGTCTGGACGCAAACAGTAAATCTGATCGATTCCCGTACGAAACAGAGCGGAATTTGTTTGCGACATACATACCATCCGCACTTCCATTGCACTCGCGGAAGTTGAGTCGTTATTGTCGGCTGAAGTCAAACTTCAGGCTACATTCGAGCTATGTAACTAAGCCTAATCTACAATGTGTTCTTTGCTTCCTGCTTCTTGTTTTTTGTCTTTTTCTGTCTTAAGCCTGATTTACAATGTGCTCTTTGCTTCCTGTTTCTTATTCTCTGTCTTTTCTTTAGTTTAAGGTTTGAGTCAGAAAAAGACAGAAGAAAAAACAGAACGCAAACTGCATATTGTAGATCAGGCTTTAGGATTTGGGTCAGAAAGAGATAAAGAGAAAGAAACAGGAAGCAAAGGACATATCGTAGATTAAGCTTTATATCTGGAGAAAAGAGAAAGAAAGAAAGATAGTCGAGGAGTTTGTCACTACCAACACGTGTGTATGTATATAGGTGTGTCTCCACGCGATAACGTGATATTAATTAATTCGCACCTTAGAAGAATCGGCGAGGAGGAGGCTTTCACTGCAACATCGACGGCGGTTAGTCGATGTTGCAAGCCGCACCTTCGCCAAGAGCCTCGAGAATTCACCCGCGTAAATGGCCGTCTACGTTACAGTGGAGTAAGTTTGGCACAAGAAACAAGGGTAGAAATAAGAAACAACATTAACTTATTTCGCTTGCGCCTATACTCCAGCTCCCTTGCGCTGAAAATATCTTTGTATAGCATATTTCGGTGTAAAGAAGTTTAAACGCGTATATAAGTGAAATAAATTAGCTACATTTCTCACTGTTGTTCTTACTTCATACGTTGAGCTTATTTCATGTATCGTAGACGAGTCTTAACGTGCAGCTACAGTTAACAATCCTTTCGCGCCACCTTGGCACCGGATAAAGGAAGCGGCGGTGCTTTGAAGCAAGCAAGTAAATCAAGCGAAAAAGCTCGTGATCGACTAACTCCAATTTTTCGTCCCTATAGAGGATACTTTAAAGAGATTATCTCTTGTTACTCGAGATATTTTTATCGGTGGGAGAGGCGGAGGAAGGTTTGCGCGTATAATTGCGATTAGATGATTAGTCGGGCTGTAATAAGCTTCGCTGAGTTATTATCAGTCGGCTCCCGTAGACAATGTATATTACAGCCCTATTTTGATTTCGACGAATCGTGAGAACCTGAATATCAAAGCAATGTGCCTGTGTATCGTATAAGTGTATCACTCACACCGGAACGCTCGTGTGCCCGATCGAGGGGGCGATCGATCTTGCTCTCGGCTGGAAGTACTCGCTGGAACGGCGCTCCACACTAAGGACGATTCAGGACAGTCGCGCGAGTGTCCTGTAATTTCGTACCGTTGTTAAAACTCACCCTCGCGCAGTAGCTAATCGCGTAAGATAAATTAAAAGAGACGAAGGAAAAAGAGAAAAAAAGAAGAAGTTTTCCGACAAAATGGACCAGCATCGGCGACTTTTTCAAGTACGACCTTTTAGACTAATGAAGCGCGAGTTATAGAGAGGCTTCGCGTTTTTATCCTCGTAGCGACCCTTAATTAGCGAGGTTTGCTTTCCTCGTACGCTTATGTGAACGAAGAGTGAAAGGCATCCAGAAAGAATTGGAGCTTTGTTTTGTATTCGGCTACGATAGATCTCTCCTAAATAAACTGAATTTGTAAGGTCAGTGTTTTGCGATTAAGATTAGATTGTAACACTGTAGGAGTTATTGGCTTCGGAAGTGAACTGTATGAGCAAAACGTCTGTTCTTGTTAACTGAACTGATGCAATAAGTTAGAGCGAAATAAAATATATTTGTCTCGCTCTGGCTTGTTTTACCGGTGCGGTCGAGACGGTTCAGCTAAAAAGAACAGATCTGAAGTGTTGTCGAAATTGGTCCGCGGTATCTCCCAATTGATTTTACGATCAGCGACTCAATGGCAATTGATTTTTACTATCAAATTAGATTAAATTAACGTAAAAGAAGAAGAGGAACGCGCGAACGGTGCGTATTAAATTGGACGAAGCTTGCGTTTTATAATCGGAAAGGTTGCAACGGCGCGAGATCAGCCGCTGATCGGGGAGGTAAGGATACCGTTTTCGCGATCCGCTTCAAGGATCACGCGATCCATAGTCGCGAATGCATAATATAAATCAGTATATGAGCTCGGCTGTGCGACAGCTCGTCATGACTCGAGAACTGGTCCTATCCTGCTCCATTGCGTACGTGAATCGACGCCGAAGGGAATCGTCGAAATCCCGTCAGCGCGCGCGCGCTTATCACTTCGGCGACACCTTCATGTCGCATTATCATTTGGATCCTTCATCCTGACCAGCCTGCGATCGCGCGGACGAGCTTCGCAACCGTTCCGTACGTGCGTCCCGTTACGAGCGCGCGCGCACGCACTCGTAAGAGATACAACTAAGGAGGATAATGCACACGTGTAATCGAGAAAGTGTAATGCATAGGTACACGCATTATAATAAAATAATATTGCATAACATACATAACAATTGTGATCGTGAGAGTATCTGTTACGAATAAATCAATTACAAATAAATCATGTGACTTTTTTCCAGCTACGTTGATGCGACTGTGTTCTTTCATCCCAACCACTCTCTTGAGGCTCTCTCCTGCGTTCGAAACATCTAGAGAATACAAGAGAGGAAGTCAGAAGATTATTTTATTTTCAAATAAAAAAATGCAATCTCAAACTATATGCCAAAATATTAAAGATCAGAAAACTGTGTAAATCAGTTGCTAAACTATACGCCAAAATATTCAAGATCAGAAAACTGTGTAAATCAGAAAACTTTTCTGTTTGTTTAAGAATAGACACTAAATTTTACGAAAGATATTTATGTGAACATTATGTATCGGCGACGATTGTGTGATTTTTCACGTTGCTTTTTATTTCATTTATTTTTGATGATATGTCCACAGCATCAAGGTCACACTTGTCACAATGAAGTCACACTAATGTCATGCTGATGTACGAATATCCGTTTTATCATAGGTGTGATATCACTATAATATCAATGGCTGCATTTAGCAGACTCAACAGTTGCACAACAGTTGAGTAATTTGTCAATGTAATTGGTCTAGATTTAGGGATCTAATAGCAAGAACCAATAATCGTTGATTGCTCACTGAGCGCTTTTTCTACTGAATGCGCCCATTATGACATGAAATTTCCAGTCAAACAATTTTATCTTATAATGATGTCAATTTTATTATTTTTTTTATTTATGGCATTATCTGTGATAAAGCGGACATTCGCATATCATCATGACATTGCTGTTGACTTCATTGTGACGAGTGTGACCTTGATTCTATGTGGGTCGCGCATCAGTATCGCGTATCAGTAGTAGATAAAAACTTTTGTAGGTAGAATATTGACTTTTTGCAAAGTTTGACAAATTTGACATTATAAATACTTTTACGCAGTAAGAGTACGTGCGAACATGAACTGGAACATTGCCAAAATAATACTAATGTGACAAAAGCATTTATAATTTTGAGTAGTCAGTACGATGTAATTTGCAGAAAAATTTAATATTTTAATGGCAAAGTTCTCAAATATGTAACTTAGTAGATATACTAGTATATATACACATTAAATATTGAAATTAACTAACTTTCAACTAAATATCGACATTCAAACTCAAGACTGGAACCATGTTACCTTTTTGCCCAACAAATACCGAGATGTTATTTTTTTGACTAACAATTTTCTACTCAACATCAACAGATGGCGCAACGTGTTCTTTTAAAGTCGACTTTCATGATATTTGTTCTTTTATAATTTTTGCCTATTATATATTTTTTAATACATATATTTTTATTTGTATTCCATATTTAACTACTTGTTAAATAAGCCGTGGAAACGTGCGTACTTTTTGACGTCGCAGCCTTTTTATTCTCGATTGCATTTCTCGCGCATTTCTTAGCAATCACTAAAGATATCAAGGTAACACCAAGGGCACTATCAAGAGCCTCACAATTCATTTTATTGGAATTGGTAGTTTATAGTAATATGAATAATATCGGAGACTCGAAACACCTCGGTTCGAATCCCGGCTTATTAGTTTAGCTGAGACTCGAAATACCTCGGTTCGAATCCTGACTTAAGGGGATGCTGAAGTGGACGACAAACTTACTAAGCGTTGATAACATAGAAATGATTAAAACGATTGAAACGTAGAAAATGTTATCTTTATTTACCGATGTAACTAGGATTCATAAATGCCTTTATATTTCCGGTATCTAGAGAACTGGACTTTTTCGATCTGGCGCATCGTTTCTCAGTAAGCGTAAATCGTGACTGTTAGTTGTCGGTTCTTTCAGTAACTAACAATACTTGACGAGTATTCAGCAATGATCTGAGCGAGTTATAGTATATCGCTTTGATACACGCGCGACGCGAATCGAAGTCTATATAATAATATCCGGTAGTATCAATTAATTACACACAACAGCAAGACGAGGTAAGGAAATCGTCGTAACGGCACGCTCGAATTGCTTCCCAATACGCAATAAAAATAATTAAATGACAACCGAATAAAGAAGTAATAATACTCGAGTAATAAATGGATGATGATATTATTTGATCGGTATTGAGGAACTCGACCGCGACGTTTCTTTATCTAACAAGTGAAAAAATAAATGAAACGCGGTAATTATCTGTCACCGTAAAGTGATGCAATACCTGCTTGCGTAAGGAGTACACGTCTTAATTTATCTTAATTATCGCCTCAATTATCGCGAAGTCGAAACACGGTATTAAAAATCGGCACGGAATAGTATAGAAAATAATGCGGCAGCTCGCGATGTGCTTGTTTCGATGGTTGAGAGTATATGGCGTGACGCTCGAGTACGTGCTCGCGTACGCGTGTTTACATGACCCGGCCGCGCGTCTCTCCTCGCCGCTCAGTCAGCGGGTCGTTACGACGGTACGTTTACCTGGCTTTGTGGAGCCTACAGTTTTTGTTAGAGCCGTTGTCTAGGTATTGTTATTACCGATTATTCGATTATCATTATTTCGTTATTATCCACTCGCGGATATTATCACACGATTGTCGAGCAGATATTATTATCACTACCATTTAATACTCGAGTATTAATATTCGAATATTAATACTCGAATATTAAATGGTGATAATAATATCTGCTTGACGATCGTGTGATAATATCCGCGAGTGGATAATAACGGAATAACAATGACCGAATAATCGGTAATAACAATGAATAATAATAACTGGGCAACGGCAATAATAATTGATTAAAGACGAGGTAAAGAAATTGTCGTAACGGCACACCCGCGTTGCTTTCCTATGCGTAATAGCAATAATTAAACAATAACCGAATAAATTAAATAATAATCGAAAAAAGAAGTAATAATACTTAAATATAAAATGGTAGTGATAATAATATCTGTTCGACAATCGTATGATAATATCCACGAATAGATAATAACTAAATAATGATGATCGAATAATCGGTAATAACAATACTTGGGCAACGGTTCTAACAAAAACTCTAGGCTCCACAAAAGCTAGGGTAAACATACCGTCGTATGTTTACCCTATGCCAGCTTGTGCCGCTGACTGTGCGGAGCGTCGGGGAGCGA